GATTTGTATTTACTTTACTGCTTGAGTTGAATACTTAAATGGAAAGCATGTCTACTTTACTGTAAAATCTAATTTTGTTAACTGTTGAGGTTTAATCCATCACTACCTATTAGTCCATGGTTTGGACTTGTTACTTACTGAGTTGGTATACTCACGTTACCTCCTGTACCCCTGTGTGCAGATCCAGGTATCTCAGGCCACGATAGCAGCTGTTGACTATTCCAGTCGCGGACTTCTTCGTAGATAGTGAGCTAGCTGCCTGGAAATCACAGTCCCGCCTTTCTCCTTCCTTATCTTCCTTTTAGAGTATTTTGACTATTCTCACACTATGATGTGTTGTTATATTTCAGAACAGATATAGTACTGGCTCATGACTTAGTGACACCCGATGTTGGGGTTTTAATTTTTCTGCATTTTAGGTTTTAAGTTTTATCTCTTTTACGAAATTCATTTTGAAAAAAAAAAAGGCTATTATCAAATTTTTAAATGAAATGTTGAATTCTTTGAGGGTGTGTCAGCTTGCCTAGTTTCACGATAGGCGCCATCGCGACCGGATTGGTTTTGGGACGTAACACATATATTATAACATAACATGAAAATTAGTTCTGGAAAAAGCATGACTTTTATAGTGAAGTGTTGTTATATAAAGATGATGTTATATATATATATATATTAGAGGATCGGGATTGTTACACAAATAGCCTATCAAATTTACTATTTCGTTTTTGCATGTATATATAGATTATACAATGATTATATAAATTACATGAATTATATATATTATATATCTGCTGGTTATTTTTAGTTTAAGAAATAAGGTGGACGGTTATTTGGGTTTGATTCTTCTTGAGAATTTCCCTTAGATCCACGTTGGGGTAGTAATTCGAACCGAAACTCATTTGACCCTCATAAATCCGCCCAAGGTTGGGCTGGTCATTGACTGTTCATTGGTTGAACTTAGCCCATCTTAGTCCAGCACATCTTAGCTCATCTAAAGTTGGCCAAATTTTAGCCTAAATTGATTCATGAGTAACTTTGCTAAAATATCTTTAAAATAATTATGTTTTTATTTGACATGTTATATATGACCATAACAAAGAAAAAAGTCTTATGTGATAATTAAACAATTGATAATAAAAATGGTACACATTAATTAAAGTTTGATAAGAGTTGGACGGCTTGTGCTATAATCCAAATTTTAGCACATCTTGACCTAACCTATCTCAACCTAGATAACTTTTGAATAGGTTATTGACTCGCTCATTTATTTACTCGGTCCATTTTAAACCGTCCAAGATCAATCCAACCCACCCATTTGACACTCTGGTGTCCCCCACACTCCACCAACCCAAAAAAAGGAATGGTAATCATAAGCTCTAGAAATATTAACACCACTCCAATATTGACAGTAAAAGAGTCCATGCATTTATATAATTAGCCCACAAAATAATTCACTTGAACACCATCTATCAAAAACCAACAAAGCAACCAAAAAATAAATCTTGAATTACTTAGAATATTTTCAAAAATATGGGGATGAAAAAATCAATGATATGGTCACTAATGGTTCTAGGAATTGTTGGATTTGTGACTATGCAAAATACTTATATTATTCCTATGAAATCATTGATTTGTTATCAAGCCCAAGATTTATTATTACCATGTCAACCATTTTTATTAGGTTGTAAAAAAAATATTACAGAAGAATGTTGTCAAGGTTCTCAAACTTTGGCTATTCTTGTAAAAAATAGTACAATTAATGATATTAAAGATTTATGTAAATGTCTTCAAAAAACTGGGAATTCTTCTTTTATTGATGTTAAAAAAGGAAGAAAACTTTTCAAGGTTTGTAAGATCAAGAGAGTTCCTATTGGTCCACAAGTGGATTGTGACAGGTAATTTTTTATTTTCCATTATTTTCTATTTTATGTTGATCCTCTTCATTATTTTTTCTTTAATCAGTAAACTACTCCCTCCGTTTCAAAAAGACCGGTATTATTACTATTTAAGAAGTCTACGAGGTTGTTATTTGTATTGTGACAAGTAAATTTTATTCTCTATTATTTTCTATTTTATGTTGATTTTCTTTATTTTTTTCTTTAATTAGTAAACTACTCCCTTCGTTTCAAAAAGACCGGTACCATTACTATTTAAGAAGTCTACGAGATTGTTTTTTGACTATATTTTTTCTTAAATATTTTATGAATATTTTGAATTATAAATTATTATAACTTATAATACTTGTTATGTAGTTTTTAAAAATATAAATTTTACTTTCAAAAACTTAAAGAATTTATGTCCAAATTCATGGTCGTACTCCGAACTATGCCAATCTTTTTTAAACGGAAGGAGTATCTTTTTGGTTTCGACAGGGAACAAAATAAGAATATAGTTTCATGTTAATTTAGAGTCACTTGAGTTTATTATTTTTTTGATATAATTATTCGGTATCTGGAATTTACTGGTTCCTATTAATTCGAATTTAAAATACATAAGACATATTAAAAGAGAAACACTCTCTATCAAAAAGAAAATTCATTTATAAGGGGCGAACCTGAGACCTTTGTGTAAGGACAAAGGAATTCTATCCATCTTACCACAATCGGTACATAACCACGCGATTTTATCATGTTTTGTGAATTAGTAATTATTATTCTCTGTTTCAACTAAGAGTTTTTTTAAATTAAATTGCAATTTTTATTTATTTATTTATTTATTTGGATATATGCAGTATTTGACAATATGGACTGGCAAAGAAGCTTTACAGATTGAGATTTGGGAAGAAAGTCCACCAAGCTAAGAAATTATTATTATTACTTATTGAAATGTATTTTTTTTCTATTAATAAACATATTTCATTTCTACTCTTGCTTTAGCTTAAGTTTGGTATATTAATTGACTTAAATATGGGTCAAAAAGACTCTTGTTACCTATGCTATAAAATGAAATAATTATTATTAGTATGTCTTAAATTTCCATAGGTTTAAGACATCTTTGTACTTCGGAAAATACTCCAGAATAACATACTGGAACTCTAGTATATTATACTGGACTTCCAGCATAATATACTGAAGTTCCAACATAATATACTGGAGTTCCAGTATATTTATTGTAGAACTCCAGTATAATATATTGGAAGTTCATACACGCATGCTCTAATCTCCAGTATATTATGATGGAACTTCCCGCGTGTTGGAGTTCCAGCATAATATGTTGGAAGTTCATACATAGATGCACCGATCTCCAGTATATTATGCTGGAACTTTCCGTGTTGCAGCAAAATTGTGGCTATTTTTCAATGACTTTGCAAACGCTGGCTATTTTTGAATGATCAGTCTGAAAACTGGCTAGCCCGTACTATTTGTACGAAAATATTTGATTGGTGGGTGTTTGTGAGATTCAAACTTAGAATCTTTGTCTTAATTTATCCTAATTTCAATATATGGATTACCAAATAGACTTTAAATGGTATATGACTTTAATTTGTTCTAATTTTTGACTCCAGCAATGGATTTAGATAGTAAATGTCAATAAAATGAAAAAAAAATGCAAGTGGATTTATGTTTACTCAGGCTAAGATAAGCTTTAATTTTTTTATTTTTCGTACATTACTCAACTTTTTAAAGTTTTTACTTTTATAATGTTTATATTCTAGCAGGTCCGGTGTTATTTTTGCATCAGGAAAATGATATTGTATAGCCGCTCTCAAAATACTAATAGAAAAAATGTATATTATACAATTTTTATAAAATGTTACGGGTACTGGATATAAATAGTTTCTGCCGCGAGCTAAAAGCGAGACATTGACGGATCTGGTATTTGAAGATTACGTGTTCGAGTTTGAGATTCTACTACAACCCATTTGATTTATTGGGTTCGAAATCTATTATTTATACTAATTTAATGAATTTTTCAATATATATATACAAGGTCGGAACAAAAACTGCTGAGTTCGGATGAAACTATAAGTTATTGTATTAGATCCGGCCCTGTGCTTTAAAATCTTGATTAAATCAGAGTTGAAACTGCAGACATTTGTCTATGTTCTTTTACAAATCAAAGGTTAAAACTATTAATATAACAACATTAAAAATAGAACTTTAAGTTAATCAACACCTTCTCCACTCCGGTTTTTGTGCGCGGCATATACCTACTTTCTTTATTCATTCACTAATACCTTCCCTTTTTTTGTGTGTGGGGGAGGGGGCAACTCAATGGAACCCGAAAGACCGAGTCTAGGCACCCCAAGGTTTTTGGTGACAAGACTTGAAAATATCAGAAGTACTCTTCAAATATATTGCCGCTAGTACTTCAAATATATTGCTGCACTCGTCGGATCCTCCGTGAATGCAGTACTTTTGGAAGATCTGACTAATACCTGGCGATATTTTCGGAAAATGCGAGTAACATAGCCTAAACATAGTATATTCCAGATTGTAAAGGCCATTATTTTAGTCACCTGTCTCATAATCTTGAAATGGGAAAGTGTAAGTGATGAAATACTATTACAGGAAGCCAACAGACATGCATAGTCTAGCATGAAACAGTAAACATAGTAAAATGAACAGATATAAGGATCAAGAGAGAAACTACTACGAGAACAGCAATTGAACTTATATACAGTCGGAAAGTAGTCGGAATAGATAATTTTCCGACTACTTTCCGACTATTTTGGTAGTCGGAAAAAAGCTATTTTCTAGTAGTGTCGCGAGCTCAGTACGTAAGTGTGTTACCCCATATATATGCATGAAAACGGAGGACATGTAGAACATTGGCTTAACAAAGCATTCACAGCTGCAGCACACAGGGGCAAAGCTATGTGTGGCCAAGGGTAATCAACTAAACACCCTTCGCCGAAAAACTATACTGCGTATAAAGTAAAATATTACTTGTGACTGATAAAAAAAAGACTTTAAATACCCTTGCATAGCCCACCGACAAAGAGTGTTCAAAACCTTAATGGAATTTGCTGACTTCGCCACTGGCAGCACACAGAGAAATCCAAGCACAAACTTTTCACTTCATTCATGAAATTGATATAAACAGATAGTACACTTGACAATCATTGTCAATAGTGAATAAACTAAGTAGGAACAAACTATGCAAAACTTGAGCATTCTATATGCAAATATATATATAGTAGTTTCTCTAGATGTAATCTCAACAAAATTTTTGTACATCCACAAACACAGAAACCTTGTCGTCGACTGGGATTTTACGAAATACCAATTGTCTTGTTCAGTATCCAGAGTGTAAGAGACAGCTGAATTGCAAAAATTGTATGAAGCCATGTCCTGTCTAACATGAACCCATATACTGTGATTCCAGCTCTGTTGTTCTCAAAGTATGACACTGCAACAAATTTTTCCACAGCCGAGATCAATAATGTGCCATTTCATTACCATAGATGTAAAAGGATTCAAGAAAATAAACCCAAGAAATAAAAGAAACAAACTCAAGTTACCTAGTGCTTGTCTCTTCTGGTACGATATCGTATGGGCATGAACTGGCACCATATTTGTGTTGTCCAAAACATCATCTCCATCTCCTTCCTCGTCAGTGTCCCAACTGGAATTGATAGGGTATACAACCTGAGTCGTCGTGCTCTGAGCCGTGGGAGTCTCATTATCCATGTCATCAAAGGAGCTGATCGTCGCACAAGCATGCCATTTGGCTGCAAGTGATGTCACAGCTTGTGCTTTGTGTGTGATCTTTGCCGCACTACGCAAGCACATGAAAAGTCCAGTTACCAAAGTAATTGAGCTCAACTGCATCGCAACAATCATACAACGTCAAATGCAATGCTGCTACATAATCAAGAAAATAAATAAATTCTAAGTACAAAAAGAGGGTGCATGTGAATGAAGGATTATATACATACCGCAAGTTCACCAGCTGTAAAGATGTTTACAGTGGAGCTAGGCTCAGTTGTAAGAAGCAACGCAAGAAACTGACTTATGGTAACTAGTATGAGAGTTGACAAAATGAAGACTCTGAACCGGTGGCTAATGACACGAAGATTTCTTCTTATTCGCAGATGCTCTATCATGATCGTCGCGACATCAGATTCTCTCTCGAAAACTTGAGCAAATTCTTCCAATCTAAGGATCTGAAGGCAGCATATTAACCGGAATAGGACACATACAAGGAAGGAAATTGATATCCGGTATAGCCAGGAACATATTAACAATATGCATACAAAGGTATTGCTCAAAGCGGCATTGTACAGGTAAGGAATTTGGGTTCCCCCTGAGAAAAACCACCATATCTTGTAAATACTCTCAGCAATAAAAGAAGGGAGAACAAAAGCTGACAGGATCTTCATCGACCTCTGCACGACAAAAGGAGAAACTGTTATACAGCTGAGTATAAGCAAATGTATACGGAAAGCAGCTGAGTTTACTCAAACGAATCTCTTTGGTCTTGTTCTGCCTAGGTACAACCTAAAATCAGAGAAACCACCATATTTGCCCATTCTACGAGGATAAAAGAACTATCACGACTCCC